GGGGGTGGGCTTACGCCAAGCCTAGACTTCTCACGCTCGCGAGCCGCCTGCGTCGCAGATCAGCTGTTCGCACGACTCGAAAACGCTTCAGCTGCACTTGTGCCACAACCCTTCTTATCGCCACACGACACGCTGCAGAAGCCGCCCTGACAGCTTGTAACATGAGGGAGTTGATAAAGGCATCGAAAGCAACACAGCTCTAGTACACGTGAAGCAGTGCTACGCCAACTGCGGATATGCGTTTTTCAATGAAAATAAAAAGAGTGGGGTAGAACTCCACCTCTTCAGGAGTTAAACTCGTCCCGACGGAAACTTGCCGTGGCACCCACGGATCACCCCCACTTGAGCCCGAAGGAGAGGTTGATCTGCTGCTATTTTGGCCTCCCACCTACATCCAGGCAGAAGCGATTCATGAAGAAGAGCAAACGCATGCTCCTAAGCACAGCAGGCTCTCCAGAAAGTGCAGGTGCTGGCAAAAGGTAGCTCATACAAAACTGCGCCTACACAAGATCAGCTGGGCTTCAGCACGAGCGCGAAAGTGTAGTCTCACCGGGACACCAGTACGACTTGTTGGCGAACGGCCCGTGGAACCCTCTCCTTCACTTTCGGAAGCCTGTGAAACACCACCTGTTGGCGAGCGGCCCGGGGAACCCTCTCCTTCATTTTCGTAAACCTGTGAAACACCACCCCGATGGCACAAACAGTTCATGAAGAACATGCTCGTGCTCCCTACCACCGCTACCCTCTTCGTAAATGCAGCTGCTGAGGCACTCCTTCACAACTGCGCTTGCCAAACTTAATCTGTATTCTTCGGGTACAACTGAACCACGGGAGCAAAGCTGCGCCTGCCCTTCCGCAGGACTCCCACAGGTGGGGAACCCCTACGAGCACCCCAACCGCTGGTTGGGCCCGAACCACTGCGACCGGCTTCCGCCAGTGTCGAGATAAATAACAACGGCCAAACTCAGGTTTTGTACGCAGCACAAGGAATGCACTCATGTGTTAGCAGTGCACTCTTTTGAAGCTATCTACCCCGTATGCGGTATTAACCTCGCCGCAAAACAGCGGGCTGCGAAAGGCTGCAGTTCGTCTGAAAGCAATAGGGCAAAACTTGCTGATGGTCCACTGATAAACGCCGGCGTTACAACCACAGATGGAAGGCCCCATGCTGCGCTGGTGCTCTGTACGGGCGCAGTGGCCCTGCTGCTGGCAGGACTTCTCCTCTGCACCGAAGCAGACAATAACGGAGATCCATCACTGATTTCCATCCCATCGTTCACATTCAAGGAATAAGCACTGAGACAACAGAATACATTTCCAGAAAAAGACTCCCCTTACACCTTCGTCTTGCTGTTCACAAACCAAGCGTCCAAAACAAGCCCATGGGCCGTTCACAAAATGAACACTAGTTGCCATAACCCCTGGCCTACAGACAGAGCAGCGTACAGCTGCACGCTGGTTATACACACACCACCACAACACTAGATGCATCCCAATGCATCTACTGTGGAGCAACTGTCGGCGACATTACCGCAGTAGTCATGACTTCGTCAGGTCTCATGTAGTCGCCTTCTTCTCCTGGCTTCCCCTCATCACGGCCGCTTGCTCCATCGCTCCAGCGGCTGCCTCCTTCTCCGGATGATTCCCTTCCCAGAATACGTTTGACATCCTCGTTGTTTATGTAAGGGTCTTCTTCCTCCTTTGTTTGCCGATCCTGTGACAAGCCGCGTTGTTTGCATTGTACGTGCATTCAGGTGCACAAGAATGAAGCTGAGCTTTGTGCAGCATCATTTCAGAACCGTGGCGGCACGACGAGCCACGTATGCATCTGCAGCTGAAGCGGCTTGCCAGTATTCAACTGCAGCCCCTACGCTCATATCCCCTGTGCCACAAGGCCTAAAACCCAAGCCCTAAACCGCATACGCTAAATCCCATGCCGTAAACTCCAAGCCATAAGCCATGAGAGGCGGCAATCGAATAGCGAAATAAATAAGCATTCACCTCGTCTTCGCCATAACTTCCTTCTGAAGCCGCGGAGTTCGATGGGCCCTCTGAATCTTTTCCACCCTTCAACGCAGCACAGACGAGCCAAACTCTGAACAAGCCCAAGCCCTAAACCGCATACGCTAAATCCCATGCCGTAAACTCCAAGCCATAAACCATGAGAGGTGGCAATCGAATAGCGAAATAAATAAGCATTCACCTCGTCTTCGCCATAACTTCCTTGTGAAGCCGTGGAGTTCGAGCCAGCAATGCACGCTAGACGCAGCAGTGGCAATAACCAGGAGCAGTACAGGCACCCCGTGGTAGGCACCCCGTGCCGGCCCTTCTTGGCCTAAACCCCTACAACTAGCAAGAGCAAAAGCAGCACCAGCGGTGCCGTTCTTCTCGAAAAGGGCACTGACCCCCGCAGTCTCCCCAGTCACCTCCCGGGCTGCCCGAAATCAGCACCGGCAACAGCAGAACATGCAACAGCAACATCAATACCTAAAGCTTGTTCAATCTAAAAATCACCAGAGAACGGAACAGGGCTCTGAAAGCAGTAGCAAACCCTCACCCCTCTCCTCCCGAAAAGATTCTTGGCCCATTTCCCCAAACGATTTCTCGAGCCTTGCTGCAGGTAAAGCAGAGCCGTCCATCTTGCAGGAGATGAAATAAGAAGTAATAAATCGCCAAAGGCTCGTTGCTCTTTGACGCTCACTGTCAGATGTTTACTGTTTCGCCAGTTGCTCAGGCTCCCCCTCCACTGCCTGTGTTGCGCCGTGTGCAGCGCGTAGGAACATTAACTGAGGGCAGTTACTGCTGTTCAAAATCAGTACTTGCTTGCTGCTTCTTGTCAAGAACACTCACGAGCGAAACGCGAGCCGGGCTACTGTGGGGCAATGAGAGGCAGCAGAAGCAGCACTTACACCGCGCCAGCTCAGAGCCGCAAGTGAACGTACTTTAGGGGGTGTACGTGGCTGCACAGAAAACCAATCCGGTGGAATTCCCTTCGGGTCCGTCGACGGCTGTGGTTCTTCTTCCTGAACATCGCAAACATGACGGAGAAACGACGCCCCGACCCCAACCTAGCTTGGTAGCATCGACGCTATTGGGATTCTATAGACAAACGGAAGGCGGGAAGCAAGATAGCAAGAAACTAAAAACAACCAGCTGCCACTGCACGTGCACTCCAGCCCTCCTTACCGGCCAACGAGAGCTGGAAGCCATAACAGCCTCCACCCCAGTCTGGAACGGTGTAGGCTGCATTGACAAACAACACCCATCCCCTACAATACTCTACGAGCGCTATCTTTGCAGATGCATAAATACACACAGGAAGGAGTTGCATATACGGCGTATGGTCAGGATATATCCCCACTACAACCCCACTCAATTTACGCATTACATATATATGCACAAAGAGAGATAAATACACAGTGTGCAGACGGAAGTACATGTGCGAATATAGATATATGTATATATACATATATATATAGCATATGCATCTACATATATAGCTGTGTTGCAGGTTACTGCATGCAGTGCAGGGGCATGTATAAAGGCGGCATGTTCCAAAAGATGCAAAAACGAAACAGAAGCGGCAGCGAATGTACACTGAAGCACTCCACTGTATCGGGAGCCCCTGGAAGCGAAAGTCCCGAATATCCTTGCACCAACAGCGAGGCCAATGGACAAACAAACAAACAGACGAGAAAGGAGCAGACAATAAGCACAGAGGATACACACACACACACACACACACACACACA